AGCTTTATTAATGTCCGATAACTGTTGCTGATAATGTTGCATGTGGTCTTCAACATTACAACTCCTAATTGGTGAATCTTCGCCACTATTGGTTCCATTGAGAACATTAGCATACGTTAATAACTGTTGATGAGGACTTCACTGGTGATACTTTACGAATAATCTGTTGTTTAACATTAGATGTAACACGATTTTGTGCAGGTGTAAGAGGAAAAACTCTGTTCAGACGACTTCTAAATGCTTTAGGTATGTGTACATGATTAGGAATCATATCTTTTTCCAACAACTGTTCAATTAATTCTCTTCTATACTGTAACAATGCCGTGCACTGAGAATATGCATAAGAATGATCACCGCCGCAATTCCTGCACTTAGTAACATTGTTACACACATGTGGTGAATCAAGAGATCTTTCTGCAGAACAGACAGCACAGTATTCATGAGCACTTGTACATTTAGCTCGGAAGTGCCCGTATCCCTGGCATGTTGAGCATAGCATGACCCTGGGCGTACCCAAATAGCGTTTCACTATTAGCTTCAAATGATTAACATAAATGAACCTATTATTCAGACATTTTGTGTAATCACGACTGTCACGGAAGTTGACCTTAACATTTCGTGTTCGGCTAGATGCAGGACAGCCGAAAAGGACGACATCCGCAGAGACATACTGCTCCTGAATATCAGCTAGTACTTCTACTTCTGATAGCTGACAAGAAACTCCCATAGCTAAAACACTCATCTGTGGAGGTATACTCTTAGGCTGTTCAACATTAAAGTATTAATAGTACTTGGATATGTGTCATTCATAAGTAACTGTGAGAATGCTTCACGGTTATCACCATAAACAAATAAATATTTCTTTGTACTATCAATTCGCCAAAATGAAACCAAGTTACGAGTTCTAATATTTCATCGCTTTAATTCAACAATAAACTGTCTAGCGATCTGATCAGTAAACAAAACGTTTGTATTAGAAAATGAAGGTGAAGTTGTTGCATCAAAAAACTGCTCATTTTGCGCTTCTCTCGGCTGTAATCGACGACGCTGGTGATGTACAACATGAAAAGCCTCATCATCACCTTCTACTGAATCATTCAACGTAGACTGAGATACTGTTGTAAGTGTTCGCTGCTCTAATGCGGTTGTGTTAGCTGTATTACGGTTTTGTCGAATAGTCGTTGTTTCTGGTGATGGTTGTGAACTCATTTTTATACTGTTACCATCATCCTCATCGGTACTATCTAATAAGTCCGGAGGCGGCGAAATTTTCCTCCGCTGGAACACTGTAATGGTGGTATTAGTAATTAGGAAGGAATCGGAAAAGTATTTAAAAATTACTTCAAAAAAGTTGAGAAAAGATGAAAATAATTTCTTTCAGTCTATAATGAACACTTTTCCGAATAGTAAGCGTTTCTGGTCCTCTCTTAAGAAATATCACTCAACAGAATATGGTCTTCCTGCTGTTCTGCGTGAAAAAGTCATATACAGCAATAGACAATCAGTCTACAGCTCAGCTTTTAAGGGAGCATTTTCAAACTACATTTTGTAATATTTCAAGAACATTCCCGGCCGCACCCGTGGTGACTTCTACTTCTCTCTAGGTATGCACCGAGCTTCGAGTTATCCGAAAACTCGAATCGAGCTACCCGAAATTTGAATTACTCGAAATTCGAGCTATCCGAAAATATAAAACTACACAGTTAGTTTCTTGTTTATGAAGGTAGTTTTACACTCCCATAAAGCTACTTGCTCATATCACCGCTGTCTAGTTGATTGTGACATCTAGCCCTGGGGAAGCGAAAACGGTCAACTTTATTTACATAGATATGCAACTTGAAAATGGCCAACATTATTCACACATCAATGCAGTTCAGGCTAAGTCGAGGGTTTATGTGGCACTCCCAAAACATTCTTTCTCTTTTGGATTCCTGGACGGTTAATTCCTCTACATACAGCTTAGCGATTGAAATTCTGTGGCTTGACTGAAAGTAGCCCGCAAGTTTGAATTGCTAATTTCGAATTCATCGTTTAACCCTGAACAGATTTGTTGAGTGGTGTTAGGTTTGGTCTGATAGCTCATGCTTTAAAGTACGTAGTTCGAAAATTATTGCTGTGACTTGAGATTTATCGATGCTTCTTTGAAGTCCGTTCAAGTTTTCTTTAACTGTTGTAAAAATTAAGTTAACATGCAAAGCGGTTGTTGCTTGGTTATTAGGTATTCAGTGGTAAAGGTTACCGTTTTACCGGTCTAACCAGTTTTACCGTTACCGTTTTACAGGTTAAACGTTCGATATGAATGCATAAGAAAATTTATTAGAAAGTGAGATTATTTAGAGAGTGTCCTGATGTCGATATTTTAACGGTTTTTTATTTCTATTTTATCAGCTCAAAGACTCAATAGAATAGATTGAAGTAGTGTTTTGATTTCATTTTTCATTAAAAAAACACTAATTTCGGGTAGCTCGAATTTCAGGTAGCTCGAATTTCGGGTAGCTCGAATTTCGGATAGCTCGAATTTCGAGTAGCTCGACCCGGTGCATATCTACTTCTCTCTGAAATTTCTTTTGATGTGTCTGATTTTTATTCTTCTATTTAAAAACGCCTCCCCAGCACCCCTATACTATATTAGAACATAACAAAGGTTTGAACTCGTAACATGTTTTTAAAGTCGTACGAGTTCAATACAGCCAAAACTAGATGCACCGAAGCCTTTTTTCATCTTGTTATGAGTACGAATTTAACATAAAGTCTATTTTTTCTATTTCCTTAAAGTTAGGGTTTTTTTCTTATCTTTGGAAACAGGCAATAATCCGAGCTATTCATTCATATAAAGGAAAGTACATTTTTGGTTAAAAATTATCGGCCCATTTCGCTTATTTCTAACGTCTGTAACGTTTTCGAAAAAATTGTCAAAAAACAACTTCTTTTTTTTAACGTTGACGAACTTCTAACTAACTGAGAGTAGAGATGGGCTGTAATGAAGTCGAATAGGACGAATACGTTTAATGTGAAGCATACGAAGCGGCAGAAAGAAGAACTGTCTCATTTGCGTTCTCTTCACTTCATTATTTTGCCTCATTAAGAAGAATCGATTATTCGTATAACTTAGTTCCGTTCTGCTTGCGAATAAACGTAATGATGAACTTCTTACGTAAGAAACGTAATAACGTCAATTTCAAACAGGGACGAATAAGGAAATATAATAGAATTAGTTAAGCTATGTAGTCAATGTGAGTCAATTTAAATTTATCAGCGAAACAAATGAGATACATTATTCATTTTATTCTGTCTTTAACACAAATAACTCTTATCAAAACTCAACTCTATTTTGAATGACGACCACTACGCCTTCTTCACCTAATATAATTCAAAATCGTATAACTACCGTAAATAGTCCAGTATCATCTTCACCATCGTCTGTCATAAAAAGAACACCACTAAAGGTCAAGCGCAGTCCAGCATGGAGATATTTTCAAACGGAAACGAGTTCATTAAATGCTGAATGTATACTGTGTAAATTAATAATTAAGCGTGCAACATCAACAACATCAAATCTTTTATATCATCTAGCACATCAACATCCTAACGAATATAAACTTATAAGTAAATTATCCAAACAGTCATTCAATAATCAAACACGTCTTCGACTCGATAGTGAACGTGGTGAACAATTAACACGTCTTGCAGTTGAATTTATTATACATGATCTTCTTCCGTTAAGTACTATCGAAAGTCCAAAATTACAGGCTATTTTTCATGAAGCTGAACCTTCA